TCATCATCATCATCATCACAGACTCTTCAGCAGCACTGAACTGAGCAACAGCAACGAACAGGTAGAGGCTGCACGTGAGCAGCAGGAATAACCTGTTCCTGCAGACCAGGTGAGCTCAGGTGGGTGGAGCCTATCAGAGTATCAGTCAGACGAGGGACCAGATCAGGTACAGCAGGCTTTAAGTTCCCAGCTGCTGCTTCATGCTGGAGACAAACAAACTCTTTGGAGATTTCAAAGTATGCTTGAAGTTCTCAGCAAAGCAGGAAACCAAGGATTCTCTTTGAAGTGACCAAGTAAGTCACTATGTTACTTTCTCAATGCTTAATAGAGGAACAGGGGTAAAAAGGCAGCTGTCATAAAGCGTTTTATTCACATATGAAGCCTGGATTTTGAATGTGTGAAATATTCAAACAGGAATTGTTCTTTTAAACAAATCTTATTCATATAAATGCTTTGCAGTACAGTCGTGCGTCTTCTTCTAAAGTGAGAAATTTGAAATGATAAAAGTGTCAAAGAGCTGTGACATGTGGGACTGAATGCCATGCTTTCGCTCACAGAGCCATGGAGTCCAACCTGTCCGAGCTGTCCTCCATCGAGGATGAAAGCATCTACGTTCAGCCTCACTACAAGGAGGCCTACCGCCTGGCCATCTATGCCCTGCTGTGTGGCGGCACCGAGGCCTACCACGAGTATCTGAGGGTTGAGCAGATCAGCCACTTTCTTTCCGAAGAGGAGATCCGCTTTATTTTAGAAAATGCTGAGCTACCGGTTCTGGATGATGACTCTGGAGGCCCGTCAGACGCAGACAGGGTCACTCCTTCCACCTACTTCCCCTGTGAGTCTGACGAGGAGGTGCCGGAACTGGAGCTGGGCTGGCCAGGGGTCAGCCGGGAGGAGCTGGACACCAGCATCAGCCTGCTGTTTCACCCCCCCAGGAATAACACACCGAGCATCAAGGAGGTGGTCCGGAAACAGATCCAGGAGGCGCGTCGGGTGAGCTCCTCATGTTTGGTTTTTCAGGTGGAGGTGTGCAGACAGCTCATACCGTCCCCATCAAACTGGAGGGTTTGGCTAATGTACACTTTAGGTTATGGCTGCACAAAGAGCTGGCTCCACCAGTTCTGATGGTTCATCCAGTCTGTTACTATGACAAGTAAATATTATCCCTCATTTTTACAAACTAAAGAGAGGAGATCCTAAAACATCATAGATTTTCTATTTGCTTATCAGCACAAAAAAATAAAAGCTGCTGAGTGGTTTCACAGACTGATAAATAAATATCCTTTAGAAGTCAAGAACCCATCATTCTTCTTTTTTCATTGTCTGCCTCCTAAAGATACCAAAACCAAATTTATGATAGTTGAAAAGTTAACAAAGATGTTAGAAAGGTGGTTTTGTTGCACCTCAAATAGTTCAGATCATCAAAAATGTTTGATATCGGACAAAGATAATCTGAGTAAACACCTGAAGCTGTGGATAGTTGGCCCCTAGCGTTAGCAGGGCTCTCTGTCTGCCATGGAGAGATGTAGCAGGACTGAGAACCTATCAGGATTTCATTCAACTGAATGTGTAGAATTTTTGTTACACCTTACGATCCGGTATCTGGTTTTTCATCTAGACACTTTTGACTTCTCAGTTTGGTCTGATCATAAGCAGCACTGAGTAGATTTTATAAAACATGCAGCATTCTTCTTTATCGTCAGTCTTCCTTTGTCGCAGCCTGCAGGGATAAGAAGCTGACAGCTTTTAGTTTTAATCTGTCAAACGAATGCGTCGTGTTCTACACCCGCTCATTTGCTGGAATAAAATCATTTGCTAATAACCTGTTAAACCGGAATGCCTCCGTGGGTTTATTCTCATCTCTGTAAACAGGTACAAACCGCAAGCAGACGATCTAAAGTTCAAACATGAGTTGTATGTTGTTGTTTTTACCGTCCTCAGACAGAACAGCATTAGGGTCGTACTAAGAGATAAGCATTTTTAAAAATATAAAAATAAAGTCAAAATGTTAAGAGAATAAATTCATAATATTTAATCTACAACACTAAAGTCATAAATTTGAAAGAATAGCCATCATGTTAAGTCTGCAGAAATAAAATTTTAACATTACAAGATTAAAGGCATAATATTACTATAATAACGTTATAACATTTCCACAATAAAGTTGTGAAAATGTCCGAATCAAGTTAGAATGGTCAACAGGAATTAAATCATAACATTTCTAGATTAAAGTCGTAATACTGACAGAAAAAACTTTAAATCAGGTTAAAAAAGTCAAGTCATTACAACATAACAACCACAAACCTGTAACATTAGGAAAAATAAAGTCATTAGAAGATTTTAAAAAATGTGCGAAAACCAGAATAAAGTTTTATTATTACTAAAATAAAACCAAAATATTAAGTGTACGAGAACAAAGTCGTAACATTACCAGGATTAAATAGTAGCATTAACAGAATAAAATTGTTATGCTACTAAAATAAAGTCAAGATGTGAACTTTACAAGATTAAAGTTGTGATATTTACAGATTAAAGTCGTTAATACAAAAAAGCTCCTAATATTAAATCTACGAGAATAAAAATTAATCTTTTAATAATAAAAATCTTTAGAAAAGATTGAAGTTGTAACATATTAAGAGATTAAAGAAGTAGAAAGTGTTTTTTTTAGTTAGTGCAGTTTAAGTGAGCTGAGTTTATAAATTTAACAAAGTTAGAATAAAAAGCCTTAAATGTCTCATAATATTACAACTTCACTATTATATTATTATACATTTATTTTTCATATATTATGAATCTTTTCTTTTTATTTAAAAAAACGCCAACCCATATGGGAAAAATAGAATTTGGGACAAATAAGTCCTGTTCCATGGGTTTACAATAAGTGTCCCGACTATATTTACCCCTATTCTGATCTACAGCGATTCACACCCCTTTAACCTTTTAAAATGTTTTTACATTTAAGAGCAAAATTCACGTATTTTACCATGATGTGATGAAATAAGATGTGCATCATCCTAAAATGCAAAGACGATTTGAACCACATTTAAAATTGTGTTTATGGATAAAAGGCTGATATTCGTTTTTGGCTATAATACTACTTGATTAATCGGAGATTCATCGAAGAGGCCAAAAGATCTACAGCTCAAGTAGGAGAATCTGGTCAGCAATACAACTAACTATTACAAAAGGAACAAGGAAAAAAACAAGTTTCACAGGTCCCATTTAAACTTTGGTACAAGCCATGACAAAAGATGAACTTGAGATGCCTTTAGATGACATGTGTTGTGAATCGGTGCTATACACTGCAAAAACGATCTAGAAATAAGTAAAAATGTCTTAAATTAAGTGTATTCACCCTTAATTTGAGTAGGTAAATGAGATAGTTTGCCAATGGAATGAGTAGTTTTAGTCTTAAAATAAGATAATTAGATAATATGCACTTGAAATAAGACAATGGAATTGTGTTTTCTTATTTTAAGTGTAAACTGTCTTGTTCCATTGGCAAAATGTCTCTTTTACCTCCTCAATTCAAGAAGAAATGCACTTACTTTAAGAAAAAAATGACTTATCTAGATTTAGATTTTTTTTGCAGTGTATAAATCAACTGAATTAAATTGAATGGATCTATAATTTTGGGCATCCCCATAGTGAAGCATGGTAGTGGCACAATCATGCTGTGTGGATGCTGACAGAAATATTAATCCAAGCATTAATGCAACAAATCATTGACTCAATGCAATCTCCTGGTATTCCTCAGAGAGAAAATATTTGATAACCTAAAGTTTTCTGACTGAGACTAACTGTTGTTTTTCTAAAGTATCTTGAGACGACATGTATTCTGAAATCGAGTTAAATATTTATCTAAAGTGAATAGATTTTAACAGGGTCGACCCAAGCTCCCATGCGCCTTAAGCAATATTTAATTTCGGTGCCCTCTATTTCTGCCAATTAAATGAATAGCTGCATTAAACAGTCTGATGATCAGAACCTAAAAACATCAACTCATTACAGCTTTAGCAGGGCTGTTTACGTTATAGTTCATCCAGTATTAGCAAAAGTAATACAATAAACTAGTACGCTATTTAAAAGAAAAGTGTCATTTGGTCTGTAATATTTGGTTCCAGAAAATTGTGACATCAATTTACACACAAAAGAATCAATATGATGTCAGAACAACAGCAAAAAAATAATAAATAAATAGAATAACTTGATGCAATTAAATTTACTTTAGTTTAGTTTATTTCTATAGCACTAATTCACAACATGTTTTCTCATTGATCTGTACAAAGAGAATACATTCAGATGATCCAGTCAGATTGGTAAAAAGTTTTCTATCTTAGGAAAACCAGTTGATTGCTTCGACTCATTGACTTTGAAGAAATCTCTCCTCCTGAATGAGCAGGTAGAGACAGTATCTATGTGCTTCCATTGTGTTGTAAACGCCACAGCAATCTCTCACAGTGAGCATGCATGCAGCGACAGAAGAAAGGAAAACTCTCTTTTAACAGGAATAAACCTCCAGCAGAACGAGGCTCAGTGTAAGCGGCCTTTTGCTGATACTGAGTGGGGGTTCAGGGAGACAGAAGCAGATTTACAAAAGGAACATAGAAGCACTGATCTATAAATACTTTCTATGTTAGAAAAGGTTACGGTAAACTGCTCCACAGGTGGCTCTGTATGGGAAAGAAACAGTTGAGCCGACGAGCTCTGAGACAATTTTCATGTCAAAGAAATGAAAGAGAGCACATACAGTTAGTAAAAGCTGAACCCATAGGTATGTCTAGGAGAGAAATTGGATAAAGCACTGGTATTTTTCAGCAGGATGGTGACACAGTAAGAATATAAAGTTGGAAGTTGAACTAAAAAACACTGTATAATGGATTAATAAAGACAGAATGAAGCAGAATATTTGTGAAGATTCTCAGTCATCCAGGTCATGGTTAAGCTTGAAAGGTTCAGTTAAGGAAACTGTACGTGAATGAAGCAGAATGGTAAAAATCGGCCCCCATGTCCTCCAGCAGTCTAAGCCTATAGCAGCATATCTATAGAGAAAGCTCAGGACAAATTAAGCCACTCTAAATATAAGCTTTATCAAAAAGGAAATGAAATATTTCAGCCTAGCTTTAAAAGTAGATCTTGAAAGAAACCCTAGGAAAGACTTCAAAAGACTCGAATGGAGCTAAATTTGACCTTGCAGCAGATCATCGACCCTAAACACAGAGTCCCTGCCACCATGAGATAGTTTAGATCAAAGCATCTCCTACGCTACAGTTCAAAGTCCAGGCCTGCAGCAAAAACATTAATTTTGGTGAACAGAACACAAATACACACAAAGACATCCTGCAAAGATGTCCTCTGATATCAGCTGGTTTTCAGCCCAGAAACGCCACAGAATTATTCACCATCATTCCTCAGTCTTAAAGTTCCAGTTCCTCAATCAAAGTTTTTTTTAGAATTTTTATTTTTTTGTGAAATTGAAATTAAAAAAAATATTTTTGAAACTATATGTTTTGAATCCATGGTTGTTCTTGTAATTACTGTGCATGTTTTCTTTTTCAGAAGCACTACCTCAAGCTATTTAGTTCCCACGGTCCCAGAATGCTAACCTTGCGCTGCAAACTGGATTGTCGCAGGATCTGAGTTTTTAGTCTCACAACAAACTCAACTCAGTTCTACACATATCAATTTAGCTACTGCCAGGTTACCACAGTGCAACAGCTTTGAATATTTCTTCAGGTGCCTGAACTGTCATCCATTATTTCACACCTCATATCATCTAGGCGCCACCCCCACATCAAAGGGCCAGCAGAAAAAAAAAAAAAAAAAAAACTGTTCACCTGAACCTTTATTTCAAATATTTTTTACCCTTTTAAAGCATTTTTTTAAATGTGATTTTTTTTTTCTTTTGTTTACCTTGAAACTAAATTTCAGTTTCATTTGCTTTTGAATTATTTGGTTTCTAAATATTTTTTGGGTAAAAATAAAAAAAAAGTTTTTTCTGAACAAATTTTATGGCCCCAATTTACCTCCATAGAACAGAACCCCGATCCTTAACAATTCAAAGGCTTTCATGAACACAACAAAAAATGTAATTCAGCAAAAGGAACTTTTAATCAGTAAAAACAAAAGGATTAATGGAAGATTGCCAGAATGTCTTCTCTAAACAGAAGAACATAAAAACTACCGGAAAGGAACTTTATACAGGACAGTAAGAGTGGCAGGAAAGACTGAAGATACAGCTTATAAACCCCCCTGGCAGTCCACCCCTTCTTAACCCTGGGCGCTTCAAAATGGAAGCCCACTGCTCCGCAAAGGGATGGGTTAAATGCAGAGGTAAATTTCTCAAATATGAGATAAAGTTCAAAATGTTATTATTATAAGATGAGGTATTTAAACAGAAAACAAGGCGGAAAATGGAGATAAGGATCAGTTTGACTGTGCAGCCGCACTCCGTCAGCCTCAGACATACCAAAAAGGCTCTGCTTATGGAAAGGTGTCAGGCATATAGATCCATGGCGCAACTGCAGACTCATTTGTCCCTGAAGCCAAATCCCATCAGTCGTTGATGGAGACTCAGCTAGCGTGAATGTTTGGGGTTTCATGCTGTAGTTGTGACAGTTTTTTCTAAAACAGGTTTAACAGGAAGTTGGTCCCATGAATGCTCGCTGTAGTACTTCTTTACAAGAAAACAATCTTTGCATTTAACAAAACCTGATCGCGAATCATACAGATACATTTTCTTTATAGACGTTTATAGCAGCTGAAATCCAAAAGAGCAAAAGAAACCACAAAATGCACATTTAGACAGGAAGTGGTTTTCTAGCTGCATGTTTTCCTGCACAGAGTGGCTGTTCAGCTAGATGTGAAATGCTGGTTTTCAACCGCAGGTTCTGCTTTGCATGTATATACATAGTATATATATAGTGTATAGTATATACATAAGAACGTTCACATCGGTGCAGTACTTAAGTACTTTTGAGGATCTGTATTTTGTTGAGTATTTTTTTTAAATCAAAATTTTGACTTTTATTGTACTTTAACTTCTTTAATTAAGCATCTGTAACATTTCTCCTCGATATGAATAAAAATATGACCTAAATTTATCATGAAAGGATTTGTTTATGTGAACAAGAGAAGAACTGCGCTCTGTTTTATTGGTCCCTGTTGTAACAATACACCAGATTGTTTTCGTTAAGATTTGTTTAAAGGTTTTTTGAATAATGCCTCTTTAAAAACAGAAATGGTCATTTATTTTTATTTGTGGAGCAGGAGGTTACATACTTTTATGCTGTTGACCCACAGACTAATGATACCACACACTGGCAACCCCCCCACCAGCCCCCAAAACAAGTAGAAGTATTCCTTCAATATAATAAAAAGTGAAAATATTTTTTAAAATACATTTATAATTTTTTCAGTGAAATTTAATTTATAATTTACATGTATTCTTAATTATAAATAGGAAATGTAGGACATTTAATTATTGAAGTAACCTAAATTTCTTTCTATTATTTAATGGGATATTAATTTAAATCACAATTTTAAATATATTCTTTAATGAGAATTTAATATTTTTATCCATAATTTTTTATGTATTTTTCACAATCTAATGGTGCATCTAAATATTTAACCAGAATTCTAAATATATTATAACTACCCCTTTTTTTTTTTTATTTCATTCATAATTTGAAATGCATAAATTAATTTTATTTTTTTTATAGTAAATCTAATTATTTATTGGGACATTTTTTATTTCATTTATCTCCTTAAATGGGTTTTCATTTATTGTGATATTTTATTTCATAATTTTAAATATATTTTCAATTATATAATGTATTTATATGTTTAAAGTGCTATTTTAAATATATAATTCACTATTTATTGACATTTAATTATTCAATCAAATTCAGATGTTATTTTTATATAAAAAATGTTATTTTATATAATACTATATTCAATTTTGTCACAATTTGAAATATATGTTTAACTGTTTAATGGGACATTTTTATTATTTCATTCAGTTTTAATCTTTTTTGATTATTTAATTGTACATTTATTTATTAAAACACAATTTGTTTTTATGTATTTAATGGTACATTTGATTATTTGATAACAATTTCAGATATATTTTTTAGTAGTTTAATGTGTCTGCATCTGTGTGCCTCCAGGTTATCGCCATAGCGATGGATGTTTTCACCGATGTGGACATTTTTAAGGAGATCATCAACGCAGCACTCAGAGGAGTGGCAGTGTACATCCTTCTGGATGATTCCCGTGTCAGCAGCTTCCTCAACATGTGCAACAGTCTGGGCATTAACATCCTGGACATCAAGGTAAAAAATACACACATTGAAAAATTAAAGTGGTCCAGGGTTAAAAATAAGTCACAAGGTAAACATAACCTACAATGGAGGCTCCTCTCAGCTGTGAAGAGCAAGCAGCTCTTATAATCACTGCATGACTTTTGCATGGCTTCCCGGGGTTGGAGCTGAAACGGACACCACACCATTAAAATTAGATTATGGTCTATTTTTGCCAGATGCTGCAGCAAGACAGCAATAAATATGCAGAAATCACATTACACCAATAGCAAACAGATCAATCACAGCGTCTAGATTTTCCTAAAGGTTTATTAATTAAGGCTAAATTTGCCTAAAAACCTTAAGACATTTACTAGTATTCTGATATATGCATAAATATTATCGACTGCACATCTACTGGACTGCAAATATTAACATAGGTGATCAAAATGTAACAGCCAAATATTAAATGCAGCAACATATGTAGCTTCTCTGTGTGCATTTTATTCATCCATTGAAAATAATGATAAGAAAATAACTCCTAAAAAAAGAAGAATCCATAGGAGGAGCTGAAGGTGGACCGGAGGGTGTGTTCTAACTATAGGTGGATCACAGTTCTTTCACTCCTCATGGATATAAAATTAATCTATATAAATACCCATATAAACACACTGTGCAAAAACCCCGTATAATGATCCTATTATATATAAAAAAAAAAAAGATGTCACGCACTGTATATACTGTATATATCCCATGCACCTTTTTCTTCCTTTGGCAAGTTCTCCTTTTACTATTTGAGCTGATGTAATGAGTCAATTTCTCCACTGTAAGATCCACAAAGACAAAAAAAATCATTCAATCAATTAATCAACCCTCCCTAGGAAGGCCTAGTCCACGGTAACCTGACTCCGCCAGATGGATTTGCTCAGTATATCCATCTGGAAACCTTCGGTTGAAGTAATTTTGGGAAGGGGCGAAAATACTGGTTAGCTGATTGGCCTATGTTGGTGATAGAAGGGCCAAACACACCAATCAGATCAACGAAGCATATGACGTACTAACAGCCAGGCTACTCTTGTCGAAACCAGTCGGGAAACCAGTCAGGAGAAGAGCAAAAACATCTTTTCCTCTGAGAAAAGCCTCCAGAGCAGTGTTTTGCTCTTCTTTCAGTGAGGAAATACTCTTTAATTCCGATAAAACTTGCTCGATAGCCACGCTAACGCTAGTTTCATCGGCTGAAGCCGCCATGTTCTTTAGACTGAACTGTCACGCTTCTTGTTGCGTCACACCTCAACCCGCCTCAAAGCCAATGCTGATTGGACATTCGTTTGGTGAACGACTCCAAATTTTCTTCTACGGAGAGTCTCCAGACTGATTAGCAAGTGAAATCTTGAAAGCTTGCGAGATCAGGATGGTCTCATGAGGCTAAGTCCACGGTGCTGGAGAGGAAAGTCCAGCTGATTGTTGAACCTTGTCTTCAGGGGGGTAGTGTGGCTGTGGAAGTCTGGACCAGCTCTGCACTCTCTAGATCACAGGTGTCAAACTGCTAACCGAAAGGGCCATGTGGCTGCAGGTTTTCTTTCCAACCAAGCTATGGCACACCAGACTCCATTCACCTCATCAAGACATCATGTTAAGACTGGACTCACTTGATGAGATGAATAGAGTCTGGTGTGCCATAGCTTGGTTGGAAAGAAAACCTGCAGCCACATGGCCCTTTCTGGAACCAGTTTGACATCCCTGCTCTAGATGATGAGGGTTCCTGGGAGTTTACCAACTGGCCCATATGTCATTGGTGGACCAGGACAACTGGTACCCTGTGGGGGCCGCTTCAGGAGCACAGAGTCACCAGCCCTTAACAAGGGGCCATGCAGTCTCAAGCAGCACATCTAGTGGAGGAGTTTGGTCTGCGTTGCCCTTATAAGTCATACCTGTTCCTGATGCTTTTTGGACTCCAGAAAGGGCTGCCCTCTGTCACCAGTCCTGTCCAGAACCTTTATGGACAGGATTTCTAGATGCAGCCAAGGGCTGGAGGGGGTCTGGTTCAGGCAACAGACGGTTTAGTCCCTAAGTTCTACTGACTTCCTCCCACCAAGACCTATCATGCATTGGTCCAGTTCGCAGCTGAGTGTGAAGAGAACAGGATGAGAATCAGCTCTTGCAAGTTCGAGGCCATGGTTCTCAACCGAAAAAGGGTGGCTTGTACCCTTCAGGTTGGAGGAAAGTTCCTGCCTCAAGTGGAGAAGTTTAAGTATCTTGGGGTTCATGAGGGAAGGGAGGATGGAGTGAGAGATTAATAGACTGATCACTGCGACTGCAGCTGTAATACAAATGCTGCACTGTTGTAATGAAGAGAGAGCTGAGCGAAAAGCCAAAGCTCACGATTTTTTGGCCCTACCCTCAACTCATGACATCTGAATGATGACAGAAACATTGAAATCCTGGATTGCAGAGGCTTAGATTAGCTTTATTTGCAGGGTGGCTGGGCACTCGCTCATAGAAAGGGAACGCCTTCTTCTGGAGATGTCCCCAGGAGGATGCCAATGGGATGGGGAGGTGTCTGGGTTGATGGAAGTCTAGGAGTCTCTGCTTCTGGGCTCCACACTGCATCAGAGCGGAGCAGAAGCAGTTAGGAGGGTGGAGAACTTTTCAGCCTAGTGGAGCTGAATGCAGCTTACTTCAACAGTAAAACAAAATGCTCTCTTTTGATGACAACTTTAACTAGAAAAGCCCTCTGAGAGAGCAGAACTGCGCCAAACAGCTAATGTTACCCCAAATTGTGACTTCCACCTATAGCTAAACTTCTCACACTATCTGGATCGTTACAATATTGAAATGAATTGTTCCTCAGCATGAGGCACACCTCTGCTAACATTTCTATAAAATCTGTTCAGTTTTCAGTTATCCTGCAAACAAACCAAAAATGTTCCCTTTTCTGGTGTTTTTTGTCTTCAGTAAAATACCTCCGGATTTTTTGAGTCTGAAGCTGAGGCTGTCAATAGTCACTGCTGCCACCCTCTGGTTTAGCGGGGAACTGCTTTTTTACGCAAAAATACTCCTATCTCACAATGCAAGAGAATCTTTTAAAGTTTTCTGTATCCAGACTATGATATGGATCATCACCAAAATATAATGGATTGTTCTTTGACATGAAGGACACCTCTGATAAAAATGTTGTTAAAATCTGTCCATAGCATTTCAAGTTATCCTGTACACAGACAGACACAAAACCTCTCCTAAAAACATAACCTCCTTAGCAGAGGTAATAAAGTTATCTTAAGAATAAAGAAAATAGCCATCGGATTTAGAGTCTTTTGTCTTAAAGGTCTATCTGACTTCTGTTTTAGGACAACAAGTCCTGTTTAACCAGATCAACTGCTTTTTCGTGGTGTTATAGCTTTTGGATTTGATTGACCCCTCAGGGCCACCGTAAAAAAGAGGTTGATATAATAGTAATGGAAATAGCTTTTCCCTCATCTTCAATGCAAGACAATGTGTTAAACACTTTTATTTTGAAATTCAGAGGAATACAATCCCAGTGATTGTTGAAGAAATAAATTAAAATTTCCTATCCTGCTCAGTAAACAGCCTCATATTTCTGTAACTATTTCCCTTCCGTCATCAAGCTTTGCAAGAGAGCACACACTTTGTTTTATTTGAATACTGTATTTGCATCTGCATCACCCTATACAATTCAATTCAATTCAGTTTATTTATATAGCGCCAAATTCACAACA